TATACCAATTGGTATACATGTATATTAGATTGATGATACTAATAATGGGGAAAAACATGGAATTGAAAATTATTATAGAATGTTATCAATGCTAAAATAATAGAATAACTTCGAATAGGATAAAAAAACCCTTTATTATTGCATATATTGAAGATGATACAATGAATCATTATAATATTAATGGTTATAGATTTAGAATACCTTGTCTAAAATGGAGAGACAATAATGATAATCAAACAAAGGAAGCATAATAACAATGTATACGATGATATCTTGATTGACAATATGTGAATTTTGATAAAATTCAAGTGATGACTATGGAAAGGACGCAGAAAGACCTTGTAACCAATTTACACACCGTATGTATTTGGAGAGGCTTTTATGTTATATGTGTTTTGTGTTTGTTTGAAAATAAAAATTTTATTTAAAAAAAGACTTACTTCTAATAAGGTGGGAAATAAATACTATGTTGGTTGGGAATACAGGTAGTCCTTGACTTACCACAGTACATTTAGTGACTTTTCAAAGTTATAACGGCACTGAAAACAATGACTTATGACCGTTTTTCACACTTATGACCATGACAGCATCGCCATGATCATATGATCAAAATTTGGATGCTTGGCAACTGACTCATATTTATGACACTTGCAGTGTCCAAGGGACATGTGATCACCTTCTGTGACCTTCTGACCAAGTCCATGGGGAAACTAGTTTCATTTAAGTAGTGTTAAGTGTTACTAACTTACCAACGTAGTGATTCACTTAACAACTGTGGCAGGAAAGGTTGTAAAATGAGACAAAATTCACTTAGCAACAGAAATTTTGGGCTCCATTGTGGTCGAACGTTGAGTACTACCTGTATTGGGAGCTTTAGTTTCAGACAACAGGCAAGCATCAAGTTCAGGGATGCTGCTGTGCACATTTACCTGCCAAATGTAAATAATAAGGTGGCCCCACCAGATCCCTTCCTTCCAACCGTTTTTCTCAGGTCCGCAAGCCGGCCAGCTACCCTGTCTCCAAATGTTCCTTTGCAAGCATCCAAAATATCAGTTCTTCGACTCTTGACCCACTAAGCATCGGAGAAGAAACTTGGTGAGGGAGCCCCAAACCAATGAAGAAAAGAAGGGGCGGGGCCGCGGGCGTTGAATTTTCAGGAGGCTTATATTAAGCAGTTGGATCCGGCTGTTAACGATGGTGATTGCGAGTGGTGCAGCTTTGAGGAGTCGCTCTCTTTTTTTCGCAATAAAAGATCTTTGACATAAGCGCTTCCCCAGCCGACAGCGTCCCATCTCTCTTAGGGTCAGGGTCTTCGAGTCTACCAAAATGACCAGCAATCGGGATTTCGCTAAGGAGCAGCTGAAGCGCTGGCAAGAGCAGCGGAGCCTGCAGGTACCGACGGCGGTCTCTCCCCCCACCCCCACCCCCCAAATCCCGGCAGAGTCTGTCTTTCTGACGCGCGTTTGCGTGCGGAGGAAAGTCGGAGCGCATCCGGGGAGAGGGCGGAGGAGATCAACCTGGAATAGCGTGATGTAGTGCCGAAGAGAAGCGTGCGCTTTATTTCGTAATGGGACAACAGATAGCAGCAAAACGGAGTTGGAGATGTGTAGTTAATAATTGGGAAGCGGGAACTGCAATAGGTTCAGTGTCGGGAAAGGCTGGCTAAGGAATAGTTTCAGAAATAAGATTTGATCTGGTTTGGGTACTCTACATCTCTCTCTTTTTGCAAGATAAGCAGTGTGTTTCTTGCTTGTAAAATATAATACAACTAAAAATATCAAATAGATAAAGGTTGACTAAAGAGTAATTTATTTTCTTTTTTTCTTACTTTAATCCTTTTATTAGTTTTGTAAAGAGTTCAAAAGGACAAGCATACAACCTAGCTCTGCTGGTTAGACTGAGGATGAAATGGGAGAGCTTCACTGTAAAGATGGATGCTGGATTCATGGCATTTTCCACTTCCCCCCTTGCACTCTGCACCCCATCTGTCCATCTTTTGGGTGATCCTGTAGATGTATTCTCCTTAGTGTCCCAGTTATTTTATTGTTTTATTTTATTGTTTGGAGTCCTTTCATTTTCTTCCTTTTTATTATTGTAACTGCCTAGAGTAGCCCCGCAGTGAGATAGGTGGCAAATTTCGATGATGACGATGATGATGATGATGATACTTAATACTCCTCCCTCCTCCTATTTTCTTCACAGAAAACCACTAGACCAAGGGTCTCTAAACTTGGAAACTTTTAAGACTTGTTGACTTAACTAACTGTGGAATTCTGGAACTTGATGTCCACAAGTTTTAAAGTTGCCAAGTTTGGAGACCCTTGCGATAGAGCAAACTGTTGTGGATTAATTGGGGGACCTCTGGAAAAAGTGACACGTTTTCCTTTTCTTACAAATTAGTCTAATGTAGCTTATTATATTTTGGGACAAACAATTCTTAACTACACTTTTTATAATGAGTTATTTCTATCAAGAAGGAAAATATTTTCTCAGCATCTGCCATATTCTGTCAAATATGGTATGTGATATTCATGGTACCATCTTACAAGGAGAAAATGCAGGTCCTGGTACAATCCATCCATACCACATTTTTGAACCCTATTTCAAGAGAAATAAATGTATACTTGATCTGTTGGATTGAAAGAAATCTTAAAGAAGAATTAATATCAATCCAACAGATACCAGTGATCAAGTATAAGTTGAAATCTGCCTAAATCCATATGCTTTATTCTGACTTGAAATATATTTTTCAATTTTAGCCATTAGAATAAATAGAATAGAATAGAACAAAACAGAGCAGAATTCTTTATTGACCAAGTGTGATTGGACACACAAGGAATTTGACTTTGGTGCATATAGTCTTAAGTGTACATAAAGAAAAATAAAATAGAATACATATTCAGCATGCTTTTGAGAATCAAATTAAGATGAAGCAAACAGTCTCTTTTCTGCCTTTGCTTAACTGGTAATTACTTTAATACAATGTAATAAATTACAAGAGAGCCAGTTTGGTGTAGTGGTTAAAGCATCAGACTCGAAAATGGGAGAGTGTGAGTTCTAGTCTTGCCTTAGGCACAGAGCTGGATGGCCTTGGGTTAATTGCTCCCTGAGCCCTAAGGAAGCAGGCAATGGCAAACTACTACTGAAAAATCCTGATCATGATTTGAAATAATTGAATGGAAGAAACAAAACTCTGCACACATAAATACATTTAAGGAAAAGTCAACACTATGATAGTCAATTTTGTTCTATTTTTCTTTTCTTTTTTATTAACCAGGAAGCTCAATTATTAAATAATGGGATCATTAATTATTTTAGGCTATTTTGATTGAAGATTCCAAAATAGAATGAAAAGCAGTAAAGTTGATTTCTCTATCAATCAAATGCATTTGTTTACAATGCAGTAAATTAAAATTTATATTCCCTCCAGTGTCTTTTAAAGAAACTTTTTAAGATTTTGATATACAATTTAACAGACTTAACCAGGATACAAGCAGGTGATTCTTCAGCTTAAACATTATTAGTGTTTTTATAATTCTAGCTAAATTGTACAAAAGATGGCTGTGTATCACTGTGTAGTACATATTGATCTTCAGTTTGTATGGTAAGTTTCTTTTGCTGTTCTCTCCTTTGCTCCCTTCCTAGCCTGCAACCTACAAAGCAGATCTGGAGTATATTCAACAAGTAGAGATTGTTAGCCTTTTAAATAGATGAAAATAATTAGCTGTAGTCTAGGAAGTCATACAGTATTATTAAAGGGTTCAATTCAATTAAGATTCAATTGTTTTAATTGGATTAAAATTGGATTGCTTCCAGTAAAAGTACAGTATTTTTTTTAGAACGTAGAACTTACTAAGTGTGAGTTCATTATGAAGATTATACATTGTGCTGAGATGCATTAATATGATTAGCACTCTTGCCCTGCTTTCTCTGACTTATCTATATTCTGTGATAAATGGTAGAAAAGGTGGATAGGCAACTTCAAGGGATTAATTCCATTTCTCATCTCTTATCAGAAAATCTGCCACAGACACTCCTTTTGAAATACCAGGAAAAATGGTCACAACAAAGAGTAGGAGGGTGATATAAATGAAGAAAGCCTCCCCTGTCTCTTTCTGCTGTTGCAATTGAATATGTATTGTCCCACATTCATACTTGGAATTCATCCTCTGTCTATTAGAGGAGATCATGAGAAACGGTGTCACCAGTTTGACTTCAAATATACAGATAGTTCTTAGTTAACCATTCAGCAACCATTCAAATGAGGGCACCGAACAAGAGGTACTTATGACATTCTCAAAGTTCCAGCCAGCATGCACATGTACATTATCTCGGCAACCAGCCCAGACTTTTGATATTTATAGTTTCTGCAGTCACGTGGTTGCCATTTGTAACCTTCCCTGCCAACACAAGCAAACTCAAATTAAATGGCAGAGAAAGTTGCAAATTGCTTCTGTAAATTGTTTGTGCAATTGGCCTGCCCATGTTTTTGCAGCATCATTGCAGTACCTCTCACACTGTTTTGCACCTGGCAGCAGCCACTCCCCGCCCAGCCACTCCAACCACCTACATACCATCCCGCACCCAGCAGCAGCCATTCCCAGCCCTGCCATACTCATGCCATGCAATATATTCTCTCTCAGCTGGCAGAAAACAACCCTAGCTCCCACTCCATGGCAGCCATTTACCTGTCCATTGGTTTGCTTGCAGGCCACCTGATATTTGGAACTTCCTGTCACCTTTGCCATTGACTTTGCTTGTTGGAGGCCAGAAGGAAGTTGTGATGATATCCTCGCTTACAGGCCAGAAGCTACATTCCTTGCTTAACAACAGCAATGTGGATTTCCATCACTAACTGTCATATGATTCCATGCTTAATTACTATCTTCCTTAGCATCAGAAATTTAAGACCAAGTTACCATTGTTAAGCAAGGACTACCAGTATGGAAGTTGTGTAACTGATCATACTCACAATAGCATGATGATTACTGATTTTTCCAAGCAGCATTGACATCATGGTTTAATGAAAAATAAGCATAAAAGGCTTTTGGAGCTATGGAACGTGACTTAGTATGAAACTTGAGTTAATATTAACCAAATGTTAAACTTGATTAATGGAATGAATATTACAGAATTTTACTCTGTTTAGTATCTTGACACATGTATGGAATGAGCAATGAGAGATGAGTTTTGTAATTCATCTTTTTGATTTATAAGAAATTAGCACTCAGAGTGCATACTATGAGTTTTTAATGGGCTTCAAAGTCCTGATATATTTAGCTTTAAAGTAGTATGCTTTTGTTATAATTAAAGAATATATTTTAAACAGAAAAGACAATTTAAATTTAAAATTGCACTGATATCTTAGTTGCAACTGAAATGACAAAGTGATTGTATCAGGGTTCCAAATAGCATCTAATATAAAATCAGAGTCCAAGGCAAGAGGTTCCTCAAAGTTCCAATTTATTAAAAGAGCCATGTTGGCATATCTGGGAAAACCCAAATCTGAAAGCTTCCAGGTTTTCCCACCCAGTTGAAAGTTCAAGATCCTGCCCCAACACCTGCAAATTCATCACATGGTCCAATCTTTCACTGTCATGAAGACAGATTCTTCCCATCTAGATCAGCCAGGTGCAGAGACAAAGTCGACCTTGACTTTCAGAGAAGAATGTTGTTATGGCTACACATTACCCAACTCCACATAATCCCCCCTCCCAGTTTCCCATGATAGAAAGTGTGGCAGGCCTGAAGTCCAAAAAGAAAAGATGGCTTGCAGGCCTGACAGTCGAATCTTTTGAAAACCTCCAGTGATGGAACAGTCACAACTGCAGGAGGCAAGCTGTTCTGTTGCTTAATAGTTCTCACCGTCATGAAATTCCTCCTTATATCTAGGCTGGCT